GATTGGGGCCTGGAAGGTACCAAAGCCAAAGGTTGAACCTTCAAGATGGGCCTGGAAGGTACCAAAGCCAAAGGTTGGACCTTCAAGATGGCCGCCGGCGGGCCGAAAATGCCCTGAAGAAATGGTGGGCTTACTCTCAGATGGCTGCCTGTGGCACTTCTGGGCATGCTGTGCCGCTGCCAGATGAGCCGTGATCGTTGGGGTGGCACAATCGAGCCATACAGGCAAGTCAGCCCTACTGCTGCTCCGCACTGCCACCGCTTCTGTGGCATGCACCTGCTCCTCTTCTCCCAACGAGAAGCCATCGGGTCTCTACGTTGCCGCCATTCAGGTGGTTGTTGTGGTCAGATCTTCAGGTCTAAGAGACCCCTTTGAACTAGCTGGTCTTTGTTCCATAGATGGAGAAGAGAGAAGGAGAAGAAAGAGGAGATCAAGTAGGAAGTAAGATACAGTAAGTGGAAGAGAAGTCAGAAAAATCAGAAAAAGAACAAGACTTAAGCGTAGCTTGGGTCTATACTGCTGCTCCCTGCTGAGGCAGGAACAGAACTGAGGGGATGGGCTATTCCAGAGGCGCCAACAGGAAGAGGAATAAACTATTTCTTGCCTCTCTAAAGGCATGGTGGGAATAACCCATAGAGATGTCCTCCACCTCAGAGGGAGAACTGGCAGATACAAGAAAGATTTCATCCCCCTGCACATGCTTTCCCCCAGCCTAACACTACTCTGTCTTCCTAGCCTTACATTTTCAAAGTAATTACCTGAAGTAAACCTACATGACTGTCAGAAGGCAGCCTCAGGGCCCGCTCTCCTGACTGGTCTCCGGGAGGAAGGAGGGGTAGATGGTTGGGCCAGCAACGCCAAATCAGCTCCCGGTGACCAAACAGGGGGTATCGAGGGGCGAGCCAGAAGTCGCCCCTGGGGGCCAGCACAGTCACGAGGTCAGGGCTGCAGAGGAGTGAATGTGGGAAGGGTCCCCACAGCCAAGAATAGTCAGAACAGGGGTGGCCCCGGCCACTCCGGGGCTCCCCAGCAACCCAAGGAAGGAGGACAGGATGAATACGGATGTGGCAGCATCGCAGAGGAGACCAGGGAGGAGAAGGGTAGAGCCCGGCCGGAGGCTGATTGGCAGGCCCACTGGCTTGCCTGCTATAGGGTGGAATGGGTGCTAGAGGGAAATAAAGAGGAGGGCATGGTGCACTACCGGGGATGCTACAGTCAAGGCGAAGGTGAGAGAGGGGAACAAGCAGTGCAATGGGAGGAGAACGAGGACAGGAGAAAAGGGTGGTCACTGAGAGAGAAGGACGCCCAACCAGGTCTGAGTTAAGATGCCCGTCTCCAGCCCAACACTTGCCCCTAACCCTTGACGGGGCTCCCACCGTGAAGCAACAGTGCGAGTACCCATAAGTCTGAGGAAGTGTAACGCCAAACCTCAGGCTTTCCTTCTCTAGAACGCCCCACCCTCTTGGCGGCCGAGCAGAGACATTGTGACAATGGCATCCATGAAATGTACTGTGCTGCACTGGACCTGCCAAGGCCAAAAATGCACAAGAACTTGTTCTACATATGAAGGACAACAGTGAGGAGAAAACAGCCAGGTGGGGGCATTTTCAGGAGAAAATTGGCAGATACAAGAAAGATTAAACATTCCTCTATCCTGCCTGCCCATCCCTCTGTATATGCTTTCCCCCAGGTTCATATTCCTCTAATTTATATAATTTGTTTGGGGAAATGTGGTCAAAACCGAATTTCCCAGACATAATAACACCACAGTCGTGAATTGTGCTGTCTATTAATAAAGCACTATTTCCTTCCTGAGATAGGCTGAATGGGCTGTCCTGTCCCAGGAATGGCCTACAGGGTTCCTTCAAACCCTCTGGGTATAAGTCTATACCAGAATCTCTTGGGTTTCGTGTTGTTTGGAGTTGTTCTCTGTAGTGTTTCTTGCTTGTCTATTGTTTCTTTGTCCACTAAAAGTCCACATAGGCAAGGAACAACCCAGGGATGATGGCTGACAAAAAAGACATAGAGATACAATTAAAAAAAAAATCAAACCAATTACTTCTTGGTAATGACACATACTTTGCCACTTGAAGAAGCAAGTTTACATGGAACAATGTTCCAAATAATGCAATGAAACGATGGGAAATGTGTTTAATGAAGATGAATAAGGATTATTTCCTGGTTTAGAAGCAAGAGTGGGGTGGGAGGAGAATTGTTCCTATAGCATAAAGCAGAAGGTCAGCAACCTACGGCTCCAGAACCATACGTGGCTCAATATGGGCCTCATGTTAGAATACTGGATGGGTAAATGGGATGGCAGAATAACTATTATGTGAAAGGACTGTCAGGCAAAATCGCTATTGGACTAAAGCATTCTTAGAGATGCTTTACGGAACAGAAAAGATAATAGCAAACAGTAATCCAAGTGCAAACTATGTGGCGATTTCTGCCAGTGCACTAAAACAATCATGCAGGGTGCTTAAATGTGACTTAATAACGAGGCTTCACATATGCCCCTTCCTAATAATAATAAAGGACTCACAGCAATTAGTGTTTGGGCTGTAGAAAATTTATGGATTATTAATCAATGTGTCAATTATCTGTAATGTTAAACTGTATATTTTCAGTTAAGTAAATAGGTTTTACAGGTTGTACAGGAGGCAGCAATCACCACCATCCCAAAGAAAAAGAAATGCAAGAAAGCAAAGTGGCTGTCTGATGAGGCTTTACAAATAGCAGAGGAAAGAAGGAAAGCAAAAGGCAAAGGCGAAAAGGAAAGATTTACCGAACTGAATGCAGATTTCCAGAGAACAGCAAGGAGAGATAAAGAGGCCTTCCTGAATGAACAGTGCAAAGTAATAGAAGAAAACAATAGAATGGGAAGGACTAGAGATCTCTTCAAGAAAATTGGAGAAATCAAGGGAACGTTCCATGCAAAGATGGCCATGATAAAGGACAAAAACGGTAGGGACCTAACAGAAGCAGAAGAGATTAGGAAAAGATGGCAAGAATACACAGAAGAACTATACAAGAAAGACCTCGATGTCCTTGACAACCACAACGGTATAATCACTGACCTCGAGCCAGACATCCTGGAATGTGAAGTGAAATGGGCCTTAGAAAGCATTGCTAACAACAAAGCTAGTGGAGGTGATGGTATCCCAGCTGAGCTATTCAAAGTCTTAAAAGATGATGCTGTTAAAGTGCTGCACTCAATTTGCCAGCAAATTTGGAAAACGCAACAGTGGCCACAGGATTGGAAAAGGTCAATATACATTCCAATCCCAAAGAAGGGCAATGCAAAAGAATGTTCAAACTATCGCACAATTGCACTCATATCACACGCTAGCAAGGTCATGCTCAAGATCCTACAAGCTAGGCTTCAACAGTACATGGATAGAGAACTGCCAG